GGTAAAAACACACAAAAATTTATCAAGGTAAACACCCGGAGTATATAAAGGGTTTAATACCCACAGGAGTATATAAAGGTAATACACCCCAGCATATCAAGGAATTTACACACAGGATTTTATCAAGGTAATACACACAGGATTTATAAGGGTAATACACAAAAGGATTTTAAAAAGGTAATAAAAACAAAAGGGAGTTTTTCCCAATTTAATACACACAGGATTTTATCAAGGTAATACAAAAAGGAAATTTATCAAGGTAAACACCCCGGTTTTAAAAAGGGGTAATACAACAGGAGTATATCAAGGGAAAAAATACACACGGGATTATTCAAGGTAATACAAAGGGTTTATATAAAGGGTTTAATAAAACACAGGATTTTAAAAAAGGGTTTAATACCACGGAGTAATCAAGGTAATACACCCCGGGAGTATATCAAAGGTTTAATTTCACAAAAAAGGGCATATCAAGGAAAAACACACAGGAGTATATCAAGGGTAATACGCCCCAGGATTATTTTAAGGGGTAATACACACAGGGTATAACAAAAAATTACACAAAAGGAGTATATCAAGGTAATACACACAGGGTATAACCGGGTAATACACACGGGAAATTATATCAAGGTAAACAAAACAAAAGGTTAAAAACAAGGTAATCACACGGGAACATATAAAGGTAATACACCGGGCCCAATCAAGGAAATACACACGGAGCATTTCAAGGAATACACACGAAGAAAGGAACCCCAGAATATAAAGGGGTTAATACACCAGGAGATTTTCAAGGTAAACACACGGGGAAGCATATCAAGGTAATACACACAAAAGATTAAAAGGGAATACCCACGGGGAAAAAGGAAAAAAATATAAAGGGAAAATACACAAGGAGATATGGGGGTAATACACCCCAAAAAGCATATCAAGGTAAAAAACACACAAAAAAAGCATATCAAGGGAAATTTACACACAGGAGTTTTATCAAGGTAATACACACAGGAGCATATCAAGGTAATACCCACAGAAGCTATCAAGGTAATAAACACAGGGATTAAAAAGGGTAACACACAGGAGCATATCAAGGTAATAACAAAAAAAACATATCAAGGTAATACACACAGGAGCTTTTCAAGGTAAATACCACGGGAAAGTAATTAATCAAAGGTAAATCAAGAAAGAAAAAAAAAAAATTTAATTAGGGGGGGAGGAGACAATCTTGTTAAAAAAGACTTAGTTATTTATTTTCCTTTGTGATTACAAATAATATAAATACGTTTATGTTTTTGTAGTTTGGGTGTAAAGGGGAACTTGGATAAAATTTGAGCAACATTTTCGAGGTACAGTTGCTAATTTTACAGTAGTAAAGAATAACAAAAAAAAACCCAAAACCGTGACTGGAACAAAAACACACAAACCCCCACAAAAGGAGAGAGAAAAAAAAATTAGACGACGTTTCGGTCCGATTTTGGGCTTTGTAAATGGTCCAGGTCGGGGCGGGAAACATCGTCGCTACCTCCTCTCTTCTATGTTCGGGTTATTTGTACATAGTAGTTGAACACAGTTCCAGCATAATTTCAGAAACATTCTGTAGCATAGCTTTAGCGGCTAATAATTCTATGACGGAGGAGAGGAAAATACAAGTGTGTAGGAGGTGCACCTTTGCCATTTTTTTTTTTTTTTGGTAGTAAGATATTTTGATTTCCGATGAATCACAATAAATATATTTAAGTTTTCCTCTTCTTAATGTCTTCAACATTTCATGACTAACACATCTTCCATCCAGGATGGTAATTATTTAATTTCATTTGTGTACAGACAAACTTGTCAGTGCTTTAAATATTCTTTTGAAATTGATGTAGTCTTTGCGATTACTGGAAGTTATCTCTTCTGATTGGCTTTATATTTTCAGCTCTGGTGTGTTTTCTAGAAACTAAGGATCTCACTATTCCAAATTTTCTAGAAACTAAGGATCTCACTATTCCAAACTTTCTAGAAATTAAGGATCTCACTATTCCAAACTTTCTAGAAATTAAGGATCTCACTATTCCAAACTTTCTAGAAATTAAGGATCTCACTATTCCAATTTTTCTAGAAACTAAGGATCACACTATTCCAAATTTTCTAGAAACTAAGGATCGTACTATTCCAAATTTGCCAATTTCGGTAAATAAATTGATATTGATTGTCATTCAATAACTAAATAAGTAAATATTTAACTTAAATAACTTAAATAACTTAAATAAGTGAATATTTTATAACTTATTGAAATTGCTATAAAAATTTTGGAATCGTTTGGTTCAGTGCCATTATTAGAGAATTGCTTGTGTGATAGGCTTCAAACTTTTAGTGTTGACGGACTTAATTGAAAAAAAAAACTTGACTTTCACTTTTGAGTTTACTAAATTTTAGATTAGATTTTATTAAATAATGGTTTACATGTGACAATAGAGAAGGGCTCTTCTGGTCCTCCTCAAACCTCTTATATCTTGGCGTTTATCAATCAGAATTTTTTAATTTGGGCGTTTTACTTTCCAATTTGCCAATTGCATAATTTTTTTTTATCAAATTGGACTTTCGAAAAAAGCACAAGAGTTACTGTTTTTTTTTAGAAGATGGTAGAGGATTTAAATAGAAAAAAATTTAAAAAAAAAAAAGAAATCGAGAACTATTGAAATATTTTTTTTTTAGTTTAAATTGTTAGTTACTGTGATATCATCGTCCATTTACATTCAAGGCTTTTCTTAGTAACTTCACAAAGCCTTATCTTGTCTATCCAAAATTTTCAACCCTAGTGAGTTATTCTTAGACAACACTGTTAGATCCTACTTAGAAGCAGGTTGGTGTGTTAATATTTAGGTGATGTTTTGCCGCTTCTGTTCTTGAAATGGAATAACAACATTTTGCAATATATAACTGAACAATACTTCCTGAAAGGGAGACCCTTGATGCTGGTGAAGGCATCAGGGTCTAAGGAATCTGGTTTAATCTCCAGGCGCTTGGGAAACCTTATCTAAATGTTTCTAATTTCCCCAGGAGCTGTATGACCAACGGTTTTAGATTATTCGCTGATTAAAATAAAAACAAATGAAAACAGCATCAAAGTTTAACGTGTGATATATGGTCTTAAATGGTTGAAAAGATTTTTTTAATTTGAGGTGTGAAGGGCTAGATTTTATTGGATTGAATGCAATAACTAGAGAATAGTTCTTTGATCAGTTTCAAACTTTTAGTGCTGTTGTTGTCCTCATGGGAATACCTCATGATTTTAGGTTGTATAAATTTTAAGGAGAGTATTTTATTAATCAATTTTTTTTGTTGGAACATTGAAGAATCTCTCATCCGATCAGAAATAAGTAACAGTATTTGACTTTATTAGGCTAATTTGGGGGTCTAGTGACTCGGCTGGCAGCGCATTTAGTTCCAAAGTGAGGGGTCCGTGGTTCGATCCCGGCACGGGTGGAAACGCCTTTGGGATGTTTCATTACGCCCAAGCTCACCTAGCAGTAAGCAGATACCTGAGTGCTAGTCGTCTGTTGTGGGTGGCATCCCGGGGGTGGTAGTATACCTCATATAGGGCTGGACTTTTTAATGAGCTGACGAAGGATAACGCTCTTAGTCTTAATAACCTGTGTACAAAAATAAACCCACATGATGTACTTTCCTGTTACCTATAAAATTTTCGTTATCTTATAAATAATTAGTACAATATGTTCCTAAAGCTTAAATAAAAAATTCTTACTTACTTTCATATTTACTTACTTGATAATTTACTTACTAACTTTAAATCTAGTCAATCTTAGTTAGAGAACTTTGGATTAATTTTAGACTATGAAGGCCTAAATTATCATTCGTCGGAGAAAATTTATAAATGAAATAATGATCTTCATGAGATAATTTCGGGGTTTTGGCATTAGGCTGGTTTCAATTTTCATATGAGCGACTTCAAGCTTAATGTGCTGGTTATTTTAGGATGTTGATCTCTGAGACATCAAGAGAACGACTCTTCAGTTTGGGCTCAAAGATGCGTTTCTTAGTAGAAAGTTTGAACTAGAGTTGAACTGAGTATTTTCTAATTTGCCGTTTATGATGAAGAGATTGGAAAATATTTTTTTTTTATGATATTTATGATTCTTAATTAGATTTGCAGCAAATCTTCAGTGCTGGTTAACCGTATTACAAATTTATGACGTAATCTTTGTTATTACTATGGAGTACAGTGAGGTACAGGAGATCGGGGTGATGGAATTCCGACATATCTTTCTTTGATCGTCCAGAGACCGAAAACTTTTAGTTTCCACTGGGGACTTTTTGATCGTCTTTCCCAGAATGAGACCCACAACAGTCGGTTAACACTCAGGTACCCACTTACTGCTAGGTGCATAGGGTCAGCAGGTGCAAGGAAACATGTCCATTATTTTCACTCTTGCCAGGATAGAAGTCGAATCCTTCAGTTGTGAGACGCTGACGTAACCTCTTAAGACTAGTGCCATAAACAAATGTACACAGACACTTCTAATTACTCAACAGTGTCAGATAAACTGCCCTTAATTCCTTCATGTCATATCAGTATTAAACTAATTGTATATATCGACAGGATGAGGACTTAGACACAAGTGCAACATCTGTGTAAATTATTTGTTCGTCAACAAGTGACTATCATTCTAAACAAAGCTCTTATGCACAGACAGTAGTTAAGGTAATCAGTCCCTCAAGCTGGAAATAGTTGTTTGGTATCTTAATCTTGATGAGTCATTAACACATGGTAGTGAACCCAAGTTTCCAGGCCGAGTGACTCGTTACCAAATCATCTACTATTATTGCGTATTAATGCAGGATTAAACTGATGAAACCACTAGTTGGCAAAAACGTCTTCAAATTACTAATTCCTAGTGTAAGTCAAAGAAATTCCCAGGTTAAATTTGATGATCTCTATGCTCTGTGAGGAATGGTACGCTGTCAGGATTAATGCGAGGAAAGATAGGGATGCAAAGATTATCTCCTTAGAGATAGTCTTTGTATCCTACAGAATTTAATACAGGGATTATGAAAGGATACTCACTGCAGCACTCCATATAAGAATTGTTCGGTGAAACTAAGGCAAGTACACTGCACAGTCTCTCTGTGACTGACTCATTGAACTGGTCACACTTCTTGTTATGGACACTCACATCCACCAGATGAGCAAATGCCTGAGGAAGAATAAAAACTAAGGTCAATTTGGAAGATCAAAATTCAAGAAGTAGCAACCGGAAAACTTCAACAAAAACTAGAAAGAACCCTCATCAAGTTTTGAATTGGTCCTCATATTTTATATTTTTCTCTCACGACTTGATAATAGCTCAGAAAGGATCGAAATTGTGTGGATTAGATGTTTAGTACAAATATTTGCCTCATTTAAATACACTTATATATAAGTGAAGAGTGTTAAAGACTTCTACAAGGATAAGTCTTCGGAAAATAAAGTGCTAATATTTACACCTTCCTGCAGCATATCCACAAACTAACCTTGTAAACACTAACTTATATTATTCTTACCAACTAATTCTGTGTGCATTAATTTCCGCTCTGTGCACTAACTTGTGTCATTTGTCTTCCATAGTCTAACAATAAACGTCAAAGGTTATGTTTCTGATCTGTAATTTTTAATCAGTAATACAGAGCTCACCTCTCAAGAAATGGAATTTTTTTTTATTGTCAGCGATAAAAAAAAATACATAATGCTCCTTAAGTTTTATTTCCAGAGTTCACAAGATTCCTAGAATATATACCACAGCTAAAAAGTTCAGACTGTTTGTACGTAGCGCCATCAGTTAACCATATTTGTAGTTGAAGGCGTCTCCTGGACCTTCTGGTATCAGAGTTAGACGTCTTTGCAGCATTATCCTTGCCTGGCATTCGTCTAGAGTCTAGACTCTAGAGTGAGGCTGGGCTCTTCAATTTAAAGTTCTTACCTGACCAGGCATGGATAATCCAATAGTGAATATGTTTCCTTAATATTATGGGTTGTTTTATTCAGACTTAAGATTATAATGTTTTATGGATACCAGTAATGATATTCTTAAATAACTCCACCCTTTTTCTAATTTCGATTTCAGCGACTTAATTAAGCGTTTCTTATTCTGTTATGTATTAACCTCTGTTTCTTTTGTAGCTCTAGCTACAGCATAGTCTACTGCTGAAATATTGAAGCAGACTAGAGATGAACCAGCTCTTTAGGAACCAATTGTCTCTCAAGGAGAGAAACACAACACTGTCGCATCCATTCTGCCATCTCTCAAATAGATTTTTGAGACAATTCCAACTATTTTTAAGTTTCGTGACGATAGAGATCCATTTTCCCCTGAACCTTCGTCTCACTGAAAGTTTTGGTACTAACCCCTGCTGAAAGCATGTATGAGGAGACTAACTCAAAGCTAAAAGTATAGCGGGTCTACACCATCGCCTTGTTTGTGTCTCCTTTATTTTTAATTTGATTTAAACAGCATCAAGATATCTTAAATCTGTACAAATCTATAGTGAAAGGAAGGGGGTGAGGGAGGGGTCGTCCTAGGAAAGGTTGGAGGGAGGGGGTATAGGAGGTATCGTGGGATAGGAGCCTGGACTTCCAGTAAGCATGCGTGAGCGTGTTAGGAGTGAATGGAGACGGATGGTTTTTGGGACTTGACGAGCTGTTGGTGAGCAGGGTTATATTTTGTGAACGGATTCAGGGAAACCAGTTAGCCGGACTCGAGTCCTGTAAGTGGGAAGTACAATGTCTGCACTTAAAGGAGGTGTTTTTAGATATTGGCTTTTGGAGTGACATCTAAACTGTCGTATCTGAGCGCCTCTGGAAAGAAAGTGATTATATATGAATGATGGTGAAAATTTTGAACCATGATGAAAGTTTTTTTCTTTCTTTATGGTTTTCTCTCTCTTTTTTGGGGTCACTTTGTCGCGGTGGGAAACGGCCGACGTGTTAAAAAAAATCATATATATAAATTCTTTTATTATTCTCTTTTCATAGTAATAATATTCAAAGCGGAACCATTTTCCTGATCTTCACCAGGACAAGATGTTGTAAACAGATGTATTAAATAGTGGTAAATATATCCCCGGGAAAAAAAAGGGGGTTTTGATGTTTGTTCTTACTTTTTTGTTAAGTCAGTACAGATAATCTTGTTAAAATTACCTCTGTTATGTTTGGTTCTGAGTAAGATTTATGGATCTGCCCATTTTTTCTTATATTTATGGGATGATAATTATACCTGTTAAAAAGATACATTCAGGAAAAGGAGATCTTTTGTTAGTACGACACTTCACCAACATGAGGCTTAATCAAGTACAAATTATTCCCAAACTAGTTATATATATATATATATATATATATATATATATATATATATATATATATATATATATATATATATATATATATAATATATATATAAATATATATATATATATATATTTTAACAAATCGGGCCGTCTCCCACCGAGGCAGGGTGACCCAAAAAAGAAAGAAAATCCCCAAAAGAAAATACATTCATCATCATTCAACACTTTCACCACACTCACACATTATCACTGCTTTTGCAGAGGTGCTCAGAATACAACAGCTTAGAAGTCATATACTTATAAAGATACACAACATATCCCTCCAAACTGCCAATATCCCAAACCCCTCCTTTAAAGTGCAGGCATTGTACTTCCCATTTCCAGGACTCAAGTCCGACTATATGAACATAACCGGTTTCCCTGAATCCCTTCACTAAATATTACCCTGCTCACACTCCAACAGATCGTCAGGTCCCAAGTATCATTCGCCTCCATTCACTCCTATCTAACACGCTCATGCACGCTTGCTGGAAGTCCAAGCCCCTAGCCCACAAAACCTCCTTTACCCCCTCTTTCCAACCCTTTCGAGGACGACCCCTACCCCTCCTTCCTTGCCCTATAGATTTATATGTTTTCCATGTCATTCTACTTAGATCCATTCTCTCTAAATGACCAAACCACCTCAACAACCCCTCTTCTGCCCCTGACTAATGCTTTTATTAACTCCACACCTTCTCCTAATTTCCACACTCCGAATTTTCTGCATAATATTTACACCACACATTGCCCTTAGACAGGACATCTCCACTGCCCTCCAACCGTCTCCTCGCTGCTGCATTTACCACCCAAGCTCACATCCATATAAGAGTGTTGGTACTACTATACTTTCATACATTCCCTTCTTTGCCTCCATAGATAACGTTTTTTGACTCCACATATACCTCAACGAACCACTCACCTATTTTCCCTCATCAATTCTATGATTAACCTCATCCTTCATAAATCCATCCGCCGACACGTCAACTCTCCAAGTATCTGAAAACATTCACTTCTTCCATACTCCTCCTCCCCAATTTGATATCCAATTTTTCTTTATCTAAATCATTTGATACCCTCATCAACCTTACTTTTTTCTATGTTCACTTTCAACTTTCTACCTTTACACACATTTCTCAAACTCATCCACTAACCTTTGCAATTTTTCTTTAGAATCTCCCATAAGCACAGTATCATCAGCAAAAAGTAACTGTGTCAATTCCCATTTTGAATTTGATTCCCCATAACTTAATCCTACCCCTCTCCCAAACACCCTAGCATTTACTTCTTTTCAATGTAAACACTTGATCTACACATCCCCTACCCACTCTGAAGCCTCCCTGCTCATCCGCAATCCTACATATATATATATATATATATATATATATATATATATATATAATATATATATATATATAATATATATATAATATATATATATATATATATATATATGTCGTGCCGAATATGTAAAACTGGTCAATTAGCAAGAACTCATTTAAAATTAAGTCCTTTCTAAATTTTTCTCTTATACGTTTAAAGATATATTTTTTTCATTAATGTTGATGTAAAAATTTATAATTTTGCACCAAAATTAACTTAGAAAACTTACCTAACCTTATTATAACAAGAACAATTTATTTTAGCCTAACCCAACTAAATATATTTTAGATGTGTTTACAGTAATTTAATACAAAACAACACAGTGATATATATTTTTTTCGTTAGGTTCAGAATAATTTTGGTGAAATTATTGCATACACAAATTTTCACTTGTCCTATATGGTAAGATGTGCGTTGCTATTTAAGCCAAGATCTCAAGTTCTGCCTATTCGGCACGATATATATATATATATATATATATATATATATATATATATATGTATATATATAATATATTTTATATATTATATATATATATATAATATATATATAAAAGGTAGTAGGTTGGTAGACAGCAACCGCCCAGGGAGGTACTACCGTCCTGCCAAGTGAGTGTAAAACGTAAGCCTGGTAATTGTTTTACACGATGGTAGGATGCTGGTGTTTTTTTTCTGTCTCATAAACATGCAAGGTTTCAGGTACGTCTTGCTACTTCTGCTTACACTTAGGTCACACTACACATACATGTACAAGCATATGTATACACACCCCTCTGGGTTTTCTTCTATTTTCTTACTAGCTCTTGTTCTTGTTTATTTCCTCTTATCTCCATGGGGAAGTGGAACAGAATTCTTCCTCCGTAAGCTATGCGTGTTGTAAGAGGCGACTAAAATGCCAGGAGCAAGGGGCTAGTAACCCCTTCTCCTGTATATATTACTAAATATGAAAGGAGAAAACTTTGTTTTTCCTTTTGGGCCACCCCACCTCGGTGGGATACGGCTGGTGTGTTGAAAGAATATATATATATATATATATATATATATATATATATATATATACATGTACATATATATATATATATATATATATATATATATTATATAAATATATAATATATATATATATATATATATATATATAATATATATATATATATATAATATTATTTTTTTTTTTTCATTTATGTTAATGTAAAAATTAATAATGTACTAAAAGAACCTTAGAAAACTTACCTAACCTTATTATAACAAGCGCAGTTTAATTTCGCATAATTAAACTAAATGTATTTTAGATAAACTTACAGTAATTTAATAATAATTCATTGGAATGTCATCCCTCGTTTTGAAAGTTTTTCTTATCCATCCTATCATTTTCCTGGCAAAGAACTACCACATACATCCTCGTAGTCACTGGTAGTAAGTCTTTCCACTGCGATAGGAAGCTCTACTTAATGCAGTAAATTAGTGTTAAAGATAATTACAAATCGGCGCATGTAGTTTTTTGTTGCCGTCGTCATACACATGGCAGGGTATCTAACACATAATTCTCCCAGCCTACACCACCACATACCACATCATACACACTGTACATTGCGTATGGTTCGGGAAATGTACCTGAATTGGTAAAGTATGTGTGGTTGTTATTCACCACCATATAAATTGTTTTAACGAGTAGCAAATCACTGTACACAAACTACACTTCTAGAGTCTAAACCACTGCTCACCCCATAAACCTTCACCTCATAATCACGACCCTCTACACCTTCCTTTCACTCATAAAGCAAAAAGTTACACTTAAGTGGAAATCAGTTTTCGTGATTCCCAGAATGCAAGTAGGATACGGGCAGGATGGCATGCAGGCATATCTGTGGAACATGTGGAAAGGTCCTTGGGAAAAGTTCTGGGATCACATGCAGTCTATGTTTTTCAAAATGAGAACCATATCTCTTGTGCAAGTGTAAACTCTAATTCCATAAATGACATTCAACTAGCGACGTGTTTCTGGATCTGCAATAAGGCTATGGGATTTTGAACAGGATTCATGAAAGTCTTAAGGAAGATACTAAATAATAATCAGGAAAACAAAATGGACCCTCTTAAAAAGTCCACCCAAGATATATTGAACACTGAGCCGGGAAGAGAGAAACAGAATGTAACATACAAAACGCCCATATTACCCACTGTAAAAATAATAAGTAACCAAAACATCACCTCTCTCCCTCCAGCTCTAATGCTGATCCAGTTTCCAGCCACTATTACAGATCTAATAGAACAACCATTACCCGAAACCACCAGAGGAAGAGTCTTCTTCTGGGGACATTGTTGGTCTATTTCTGGCAGGTATGGTTACTGAAGATAGTAATGAAAAAACTGAGAATTCATCCCCTTCCCCAGCTTCTAGCCAGCTCAAATTTGATACTAATCCCTCTAGGATTTTCCAAGTGTATACTGTCATGTATCATTCTCGCCTGCATTCCACAGAATTCAGATCAAGGGGCTTCAACTGTTCATAGTAATTTAGGTGCTTCATCATGCTTGTGTGTGCAGTGAAGGTTCTGTGTATATTCGTCTGCCTTGAAAAGGGCATTAAGTGTATTGCAGTATTCCAACCTAGAGAGAACAAGTGATTTGAAGAGAATCGTCATGAGTTTGGCGTTCCTAGTTTTTTTAAGGTTATCATTATCCATCCTATCATTTTTCTATCAGATGTAGTAGATACGTTGTTGCGGTCATCCTCTGAAATTGTCACTCCCAGGTTCTTCACATTAGTTTTTCGCGCAATTGTGTGTTTGGAATTTGTTTTATACTCCGATACAGTTTTAATTTCCTCAAGTTTTTCATATCGGAATAATCGAAATTTCTCTTCATTGAACTTCACATTGTGTTCTGCAGCCTATGTAAAGATTTGGTTTATGTCCGCTTGGAGTCTTGAAGTATCTTCAGTGGATGATGCTGTTACGCAGATTCAGGTATCATCCACAAAGGAAGACACAGTGTTGTGGCTTACATCTCTGTCTGTGTCAGATATGAGGATGAGGAACAGGATGAGAGCGAGTACTGTGCCTTGTGGAACAGCTTTTCACTGTAGCCACCTCAGACTTTACTCTGTTTACTATTACACTTTGTGTTCTATTTGTTAGAAAGCTATAGATCCATCTATCAACTTTTCCTGTTATTCCTTCAGCACTCATTTGGTGCTCTATTACACCTTGGCCGCACTTGTCGAAGGCTTTCGCGAAGTCTGTGTATACTACATCTGCATTTTGCTTATCCTCTAGCACATCCAGGACCCTGTCATAGTAGTCCAGTAGTTGGGGTAGGCAGTAGCACACTGCTCTAAACCCATGTTGCCCTGGGTTGTGTAATTGATGGGTATCTAGGTGGGCGGCGATCTTGCTTCTTAGAGCCCTTTCAAAGATTTTTATGATATGGGACGTTAGTGCTCCGGTCAGTAGTTCTTAGCAATTGCTTTACTGCATCCTTTTTGGAGTGGGTCTATATCTGTTGTTTCTGGTGACTGTAGGATGACCCCTGTGTACATGCACCCTCTCCATAGAATGTTAAGGGCACCTGACAGGGACTTCTTGCAGTTCTTGATAACAACGGAGTTCCACAAATCCGGCCTGGGGCAGAGTGCATGTGCATATCACTTATTTCCTTTTCGAAGTTTTGTGGTTTTAGAATAATATCAGATTATTGAATTGACCGAATTTTGAGTTTCGGCCGTAATAAATTCATTTACATTGTCGATCCTTAGTCTGGTTAACGGCTCGCTAACACTGAATACATATTGGGACTTTAATATCTGACTCAATTCTTTGGTGTCAGCTGTGTAAGTCCCATCTCGTTTAAGAAGAGTTCCAATACTAGATGCTGTTTTCGCCATAGATTTGGCATAAGAAAATAAGTATTTTGGGTTTCTTTCAATTTCATTTATGGCTTTAAGTACTTGGTGAGATTCCTGTCTCCTGTAAGATTCCTTAAGCTTGAGTTCGATATCAATCTTGAATATCAATCTTGAATAGATTCAAGATTGATGGACTGACCACATTGACTCAAGGTTGAGGGACTGATTACCTCATTCCCCTCCTGTTCCTCACGATTCTCCTTTGTATGGACTGATGAAGCCACTGTGTGGCGAAACGTTTCCTCAATAAAGATACCCATTTGCTGGTTTTATATGAATTTAGTGCAGAGATTTAACAGCTTATGTGTGTGTTAATTTTCATCTGATATACGTCCTAGGGTGATCTCTGCTAAAACATTATTTGCTACAGTCTTCCATTTTATGTGTCTCAAGTTGAAATCGCCGAGTAGCAAGATGTTTGGGGCAGGAGTTAGGAGATTTTTGAGACAGTGGTCAATTTTCAAAAACTGTTTCTGGAATTGCTGGGAGATTGCATCCGGAGGCTTGTATATAACCACAATGACAAAGTTTTGGTTTTCAATCTTTACTGCCAAAACTTCAACTACATCATTTAAGGTGTTTAGTAGTTCTGAGCAAATGAGAGACTGTGATGTATAGGCCAACACCTTCCCCTCTTCCCCCCCACGGTTGTTGCCTGTTTAATCTGTCGCATCAGAATAGGTTATAACCTGGGATCCATATTCCGTTGTCAAGATGATCCTTTATGTGGGTCTCTGTGAAAGCCACAAACATTGCGTTTGACTCTGTGAGCAATCCGTTGATGAAAGGTATTTTGTTGTTTGTTGATGCCTTAGACCCTATATATTTGCAAAGATAAATGTCGTCATATTGATGGAATATATGGGGGCCTTTGTTTGCTGGCATTATTATCTGTTGTTCTGGAGTGGAGGCCAATTCCTGCCCCTCCGCTCTCGAAGTGTTTTCAGTTGGTGTAAGATTTCTGTCATTTCTTCCCAGTCTTTTTTCTTCCTGGCACTAAAGAAAAACCTCCGTTTCTGAAGTGATATTGTCTCCTCTCTTTTGTTTCCCATGATCTGGGTGATCTATATATTCTTGTCCCCATTAGATGGAGTGCCTCAGAGTATATGTTGCAGCATTGTCTTTCATGGACTGACGAGTGACACATTTCTGGGTGAAATAAGTTACAAGAAAACGACAAGCAATTTCCTTTTTCGTAAAAACTGCTACGAATCCTATAATTCCCTTCTCTCAGTAGCCGCATCTCTCTCTCCCGTAGCTTCTTCCATCTCTACTTTCACTTATCTGACGGTACAGCTGCTACAAAGAAGATATCGTTCTTCACTCTTATTGACAGCTTATTAGGCACGTTCTCACACGAACAAGTCAGCTCACTACTGACATAAGATATTTTACCCCTGATACAGATCAACTCACATGCAATTCAAAGAGAAGTAACAATGTGATGGGTGAAATACTAACATTGGCCACAGGGAAGGCGGGGATAGTGGAGGTGATCCAGTAGAGGATATCACTGACAATAGTGAGAGTCTTCTGATTCGCCGCTCGCAGACCAAACACCACAACCGTCATCAGCTGACCTTTAGAAGAAGTAAACGTATTTCAGTAAATTTATACATGGTTTAAAACTGGCGTTTAGCAATACAAACTTTTACATGATAGTGTTTCACTTAAATAAAAGCTTTATCAACCATTTGTGAAAAGTTGGCAGAGTGAACGATAGAGAAGAATGCGAACTGGATCCATTGAGCTTCAACGTTTGTGAATGATACTGAGAGAAAATTGAACATATTAAAGAAAAGTGGTTGAAAATACCGGCAATAATGTTGACGAGAGCGAGAACAGCAAAGCCGGAGGCAGCAGTCTGGAAGGGAAAACTGAAGACATATGCCATGGGGATACTCCCCCAGCCGTACAGCAGCAGCAACACAAACAGCGCACCTGTGGAAGACAACGCAAAAATTGCTCCCTGACACAAGCGATCTCTCTGATGATAATTTAAGAAGCTTCAGAATTTTTATTGTTTTAAACTTACTGTCACACATTAGCAGTCAACCATAACCATGCTATTCGTGGAAATGAAAATGCATAATATGAAAATATTAGAACTATAATTGTTTGTGAATTTTTGATAAATGGTTAAAATGTATTTGATATAGTTTTACTACCTACTGATGGGTGCGCCTCTCTCTCTCTCTCTCTCTCTCTCTCTCGTCTCTCTCCTCTCATTCTCTCTCTCTCTCTTCTCTCTTCTCTCTCTCTCTCTCTCTCTCTCTCGATCTGGCTTCGCTGTGTTGATAATAACGTTGGTCACTGGCCACATAAGCAAGTCTCTTCCACCCTTTTCTTAATTCACTTAACAATCTTACTCCTTCAATTAAGTTCAAAGTTGAATGGAAAATCTATTTGATCCCTTTCCTGGATATACATACATGTCTATTGCTCAGCGATAGGCTTTTCTTTTTCCGTTTAACACAAGCCAAAGCACATGACATGCGCATTCACAACTTTTCTTACCATGCTTCTTCTGCCAAGAAAAGCGTTCATATTTCACTCTTCTCTGTGCCCTACGCATGTATTAGCCTCAGTTTTCTCGACTCGAAAAATGTTCACCCTTCGCAATTCGTTCTCTTGCTTTGGCTACCTTTCCAGTTTCATAAACTCTATCTAATCACGTGCTGCACGGACTTTTTTCTCTCTCAAACTCTCAACTCCTGTGAAATTTCCTGTTCTTTGCCTTCCCTATATTTCCAGTCACTCTAATCTTAATAATACCCTCCGTTCTTTAGACCTCAAACTTACTTTTCGCCAAACTAATACCCTTCGTAGTAATTTAGATTATCTCACCTCCTGCCATTGATGCTTACGGAGTCTACACCATTTTCCGCTCCTCATGTCCTCTTTAATACTTTGAAGAAATTGGCCACTCTCTGACTCACAAAAGAAGTGTTAGATTTCCAGACATTAATAATGCTCTTTCTGTCATGGTAGAGATCACAATCATCGTATTAACTGGTCCTCTGCTAAAACTGTCTACCCTTCTTCAAGCCTTCATAGACACCGATTTATTGAAGAACCCATTATACACAGCATTTCTAGTATGAATCTTAGACCTGGCTTTGTCTCTCACGATGCTTTCCTTTCTCATTACATTGTCAAATGCTCCAAACTTGATAACACTCTTGACTTGACATGATTTTTAACTCTTCCTCTCCTTACCTCTTCTCCAGTCCGGTATTTTCATTGCCTTTCCGGTCTTCTGCATAGATACGTTCTGTCCTATTGGGTTTTATCCTGCTGGTTTTTGGTTCTAACCTCCTGGTCCATTAGCTCTAATGCAGTGCTCCTCTTTTTTTTCTTGTTCTTAGTCTACCTCCATTAGTACTTCTAATACTAGTACTACTATTATCTATTTGCTAAATCTTCACCCTTCTTATTGCCACTACTACCACTGTTGCACTAGCTTTTTACTACTACTACTACTACTACTTCCACCACTTCTACTATGACCACTGCTAATACAACCACTTTCATACTGTTCCCTCCTCTCGTTATACTACTCCAGTCCCTGCCTGTGGAAAATCTAGTTTTCCATGATACTACAACGATGTTTTCATAGGGAAGAGTAGGGTGAGGTGAGGGAGGAGGGCTGGCATCACATGTAACGATGCCAGATTTCCGCTCCTTAATCGCAATTGCAAGGCGAATTAGTTGTAACATATAAATAAGCTTGAACCTAGTCTAAGATTGTAGCTTACATAATTAAACCAGATAAGGAAAAAAATTCAAGTAGCTTAGTATGATTAAATCCTTTCTCTATATGCCTGTAGACTTGGCATTATGAGGACCAGGTCACTGGAAGGGCAGCTCAGTGCGCCAGTAACTAAACAGGCGTGTATCAGTGACTCTAATTTGGAATTCGGGGATTCCATGAGGATGTTGTGACCAGGAATAGTCCCAACAGATTTCATAGGTAAGCTCTCATGTGTACCAGTGTTGAGGATTTGTACAAATCTGCAATTCTCGGGTAAATATGTTGTCTTATGTCTACTTGTGGATCTAACGACAGAGAGAAGCCTCTAGATTCCTTGTTCAGAATATGACCTACACTCTGAAAAGTTAACAACTCTGTCTTTAGAGGAAAATTTCAAGTTAGCGATGTATAAGATGGCTAGAACTTATGGCGGATTTGATTGATTTACTGTTTAATTTTTCGTCAGTCATGACACTACGCCTCTATTCAAGACACCGCCCTCAACTGGAATATATGTTATCTCCCTTCCTTTCGAGCTTCCCTGTATGGCTATTTAATGTTTCTAATCGGACCAAAACATCGTCAAAAGTTTCAGTCTCCTATGTGCAGGTTACATATGTAAAGCTTCTACCATAAGACGTGAATTAACACTGTGACTAATTTTCGTTTTCTAAAACCTAGATAAAATGTACACAAATAACCTGCACTCAGAAGAGAGGAGCTTATGACGACGTTTCGATCCGGTATGGACCATTTATAAAGTCACACTTTGTAAATAGTCCAAGTAGGACCGAAACTTCTTGGTAAGCTCCTCTCTCCTATCTCCGGGTTATTTGTGTGTTGTTCCTGTCACGGTATTGTCCTTTTTTATTATTTAGATAAAATATAGCTAAATTATTAGGCAAAACTACTGTATATTAACCAGAATTTATTTAATATTCTATACTCGTTATTATAACTGCACTGCTAGTTCTTCACTCTCTCCTTGGCATTCAGCATGAACTATCTCAAATGAAAGTTTTCTTCAGTATTAAAATAGTATAAAATACCGACAGGATTTTAGGTATGACATATTCAACAGTAAGGTATCTTTATTTCGAAACGTTACGCCAACACAGTAGGATTCTTCAGTCGAGTACAGAAAAGTTGGTAGAAGCAGAGATGTGTAGACGATATAATCAGCCCATCACTTTCTCCTTTTCCTAGTTACTATAATAAGAACAACATTACCTGGAGCTATGTTACTGGTGAAGTAGCCATGGAAGTCCAGAGCCATGAAGCAAATGAAAATAAGCAGCATTGATGCCATGTAGGTGGCGAAGTCCCAGAGAAATGTGGTCGTCCAGAGAGCCCATATTGGAGCTCCTGTCATTACCTGTACCTGCATATTTCAATAATTATTATTGTCAATAAAGTTGAAGGAGTAACGATGGGTTCTTCTCTACGTCCAACTTATATTAATGCCTTAATTTTTTTTTTTTTTTTTTTGAGAAAATAAGAGAAAACCTGACTGAATGCCAAAAGATCCCCGCCCTTCCTTCAGAGTGGAGGTATTTCACTTACCATATTCAAAACCCAAGTCTGGCTAACCGGTTTCCCAGAATCTCTTCAAAAATGTTACTGTGCCCAAACTCCAACAATACGACAACGTATATAAAAACATTTACCTCCACTCCTAGGTTCTCTACACATAAGCCGCTATGTATGATAATCTATGTAACTGTATTTGTTTATACCTGAATAAACTTAGTTACACAAGCATATTAAATGTCCATACCCCTGGCACTCAAAGCTTCCTTGGACTCCTCACTCCAACCATTCCTTGAATGACATATTTCTCCTTCCATTCTCCCCAAACTTATGGGCCCTCCAATTCATTCTATTTATATGTCATAATCTCTGAATGTCCAGACGACTCCAAACCTCTAAATAATCATTTCGGTAACCCTATACATCCTGATTTCCAGATTGAAATCTCTGCATAATATTCACATCACACATTACCCTCAAACACGATATCTTCACTTTTCCAGCCTCCCCCTCACTACAATATTTAAAACTCACACTTATCAACAGTTTAGCACCAGTATAGATAATATTCTTTGACTCCACTTTTTTACCCGTCGCCAATTCTATGTACACTATTAATTTACTTATTTTATATATCCTCGCAAATTGTGCAAGTTTTATTCAGAATTTATTCAGAATTTCCGAAAATGACCGTATCACAGGCTAAAGATGACGCTGACAAATCTCTCTTTGTATTAAGTTCATTATCTAATTCCACTCCCCTTCCAAAAAAACCTAGCGTTTACTGCTTTTACAATTCCATCTATAAATAAATTAAACAACCTTACTGACATGACACATTCTTGTTTAAGCCCAATTTTCAATAGAAAATAAGCTCCCGCTCTCTTGAGCCTCGCTATCCTCACAAAAACTCTTTACTGCATTAGGTAAGCTACCACCTATTCCCCACATTTGCAACATCTGCCACACTGCTTCTCAATCCACCTTATCGAATGCGTTTTCTAAATTCATAAATAAAAAAACAGTACCTTACCTTTACTTCAACGTAAACATTAGGTCTACATATCCCCTACCTTACCTAAAACCTTAATGTTCTTCCTAATCCTACTATCTGTCTCAACCATAAATCTTTCATTAATAACTGCCATACACTTTACTCTGTATACTGAACAGTGTTATTCCTCAATAATTGTTATACACTCTTTTATTACTTGTTTCTTATACAATAAAACTCAGCATGGTCATTAGTTGACAAAATTAATAGTCGACATGTTCTATGAATGTATTTCAAATATATTTATGTTCCCGTGTAAATTAAGTGGTTTAGATATTTATAGGTGAACTGTAGCAGGAGTTATTTTTTTTAATTGTAAATCAAATTTGTGATTTCAGAACCTTGCTGACGATGCAGGAATACAATAGCAAAACTGGAGAAAATCAGACTTAGAGGTTCGTGCGCAATTCAGCTTTTTGAACAATTAATCACTAGGTAAGATGAGATTTTTTTTGTTAGATTGGGTCAAAAAATATTTTACATAAATTTGTAAAAAAAAAAAATCTGCAAAAAAGTCCGATTTTAAAGGGAGTTCGCCTATTAGGCAGGTTCGGCTTACTAGGCATAATATATATATATATATATATATATATATATATATATATATATATATATATATATATATATATATATATATATAATATATATATTATATATATATATATATATAATATTATATATATATATATATATATATATATATTATATATATATAAATATATATATATATAAATATATATATATATATATATATATATATATATATATATATATATATATATATAAACACTGATCTCTGGCTGAAGAGACTCGAACCTACGAACCTTAGACAAGGTATGCAGTGCTTTACCAATCTACCCACACTGGACAATGCTTTGGTGTGTAGCTTGTGCTACACGTTTGATCCAAGGCAGCAGCTTTCACACGTGTAGCGCAAGCTACACGCCAAGGTATTGTCCAGTGTGGGTAGATTGGTAAAGCACTGCGTACCTTGTCCTAAGGTTCGTAGGTTCGAGTCTCCTTCAGCCAGAGATCAGTGTTTGTGAATATTTCGCATGCTCTCGCGAATTCCTTGCATTGTTAAAATCTCTAGTAAGGCTGATGCATGCGGGGGATGAAAAACAAAAAAAAAAAAGGCCTGTAAGTCCTCTCCCGAAAGCTGGCTGCCTTGGATCAAACGGGGTAGAGCAAGCTACACGCCAAAAGGTATTGCCCAATGGGGTAGGGGGGAAAAGGGAAACTGCGTACCTGGCCCTTTAACGTTCGTGGGTTCGAGTCCCTTTTCACCGAGACCCCGGTTTTTGGTATATTTCCCCAATGCTCTCGCAAATTTTTCCTTGCATGCATAAAATATAAAAATATAAAATTAAAAATATTATATATATAAATATATAATTAAAATATATATATATATATAAATTTTCCCTGCTGACACTGGGGGTTATCGGGAAGTTTTTTGTTTTAATAAACTCGTTTGATGCTAGGAAGAGGACAGGAAAACCGGGTTAGAGCAATTTTGGAGGATCTCATACCCCAACCCCCTCCAAGCCTGATCGGAAGTGAGATTGAAAAACCATTGTCCATCTTAAAGGGGAAAATTTCCCAATACATGGTTTTAAAGGGGAGAGAGTCGTTTTCCCCTTGATTTTTTGGACTGCTGAAGGCTGGGGAGCACTCAAAAAAGCAGGTAATTTTTTGGGAAATTAAACGGGCACCTGGTGAGAAAGGTAGAAGGCATCGTGTGTGTCAAGTCTTTTTTATCCTGCTTTCCATCGTCCGGAGGTCCCCAGACTTTTTTTCTAGATCAATGATTGGGATTGGGGCCCAAGAGGAGCACCCCAAAAATTGCTATTGGCTGGATCAATGGCTCCCTTCCCCCCGGGAAAAAAGCGCAACATTCCCGGGTCATCTGGGTTATTGGGAGAAACTAATTTTTACATATTGTGGGGTTTTTTAAAAAAAGGCCCAGGCTTTCTTCTTTTCCTGCTTTTAAAATTTTTCTGATTCCTCTAGGAGAGATTTTTGTTATGCCAGCTAGGGTAACCCCATCCAGGAAAACCCGATATTGAGCTCGCGAGAGGCTTTTGTGACTTTTCCCGATTAAACCAAAAACCCCCCCGGAAAAAAAGAAAGGGGGCGAGAGGACCCCCTTTGCACGCCCTCACATGAGTCAAATTTTATGGTCCCCCCAAAAAATAGTTTTTGGGAAATCACACAATAACCCCATTTTATGAAGGGATAAAAAGGGAAGGGGAAACTTTAAAAAAACTGCTTGGAGAGCAGCATTCCTTTTTGACTGATTGAAAGCGTTTTCAAAAAACCAATTTGAAACCCAAAGGGTTTTTATCGGACATGTTTTTATATATACTCGTGCGCGTGGGGAGCTGCTTCAACCCCAGCCCCTGTTGAACCCGAAACCGAAACTTTAGGTTTGGTTTTTGCATTGCAGCCCGCCTCTTGACTCACCCTTCTTACTGCAGCCTGGGGACAGGCGCCGAAAAGGGGGTTAAACCCCCCGCAATGGGCCGATTCCGCCATCCTTTTTTCCGGGGGGACAAAATGAGGGACCAAAGAAAAAGGTCCCGATGGCCTCTGGGACACTGACAGCCAAAACAAAAGGTTGGAATATTTTTGGGGAGTTCAGACAGCACCCCCCCTGAAACCTCACCCAAATGCTGGATTTTAGTATTTTTTTTTAAGTGTTTTAGGCCCTTAAAAAAGGGGAAACCTCCTGCGGGGGCCCCGTGGAAAAGGGCATAGCAGCTTTTTTACACATAAGCATCCCCCAAGGTTGAAGTTTTGCGCCGCCTTTCAAAAGTCAGGGAGGTCCAAAGTTGGGAAATGGGAAAACATGGGGGGATGTTTGCCTTTAGACTTGCGCCGTGCTGACGTCCCTTGGGGGCGATGGTATCCTCACTGGTTACAAGTCTCAGACACAATTTAAAATTACCCCTTTTTTCTTTTTTTTCAACTTGGGCTCTGATTTTTAGGCTCGGGGGTCCGTTGTTGGGATTTGCCCGGCGGGGGTTTTTCGCCCTAAGGCCTAGGGGGAAAACGGACAGTTGCCTCCTTGGGGAATGCATTTTTTGCCCAAAAAAATTTTCACTGTGCCTTGCTACTGGGAAATCACAGTCGCTCCTCAAGAAAATCCCCGTGTCCCCGTTGGGAGGGGGAAACCCCTACCCGAATCGATCTATTTCAAGATGAGTTCTCAACAAGTCAAAATCAAACCACCAGTGGGGCTGATCAAAGCCCCACCAAGCTTGCCCTTTGTGTGGTTGCAAGGGACTGACGTCAAGATTAACACCATCCATCCCTCCAAGAATCCTTCTTCGTCTGTGAAACATTGGAGGCTGAAAAAACTGTGCCCGCCCTGACCACTCTCGAACAACGTGCTACAATCATGTCCTTTCCACCTTAAGGCTAAGAGAACTGTTTTTCTGACCGCCGGATAAAAATGATTACGACACAAACAACCGAAGATTCAAAAAATCTTCGAAGAGCAGAACCATGGGCAAAAGTGGAAAGCATTACCAAGATTCCCACGGCCTCATCAATGTTAAAGATTACCTTCACTGACGCCACGATGGCTTCCCCAAGCTACACAGAGGGACTAGCTATTTACTACTACTTTATAAACACTAACCCACTTTGAAGCTGAGCGACACCATCATGTTTACCCAATGCTGGAACTGTTACTCGTACCTTCACTTATCAAAAGACTGCACCACCAAGGACAAGAAGTTCTGCTCCACCTGTGTTCGGGGGACACGACTCCAAAGCATGTACTTCCAATG